GGGGCGCGCGGCTGCAGTGCGAACGCGTCACGGCCGCTCCGTCTGGGCGCCCGCCGGCTCATGTCTCCTCCTCCGTGTCTCTCCGGCCGTGCGCATCGCCGCCTCCCACCGCTGGCGGCGGCCGGGGCGTTTTCTACGCGCGGGCGGCGAGGGGGCGGGGGGCCGGGGGCGGTCCCGGGCCCGCGCCGGCACAATGAGGATGCGGGGCCCGGGGGCTCCCCCCTCGGGGCGCGGCCGGACGGGCGCTCAGCGCGGCTGGGTGCGCCGCGCCCACATCAAAGCCGGCCCTGCCTGCTTGCCTGCCTGCCGCGGCCTCTCCACTGCCTCCTCCTCCTTCTGGCGGCTCAGGGCTGGAGGGGAGGCACTCAGACTGTCTGCGATGGGACTGGCCGTTCAGCAGGGCAGAACCCACGAGGCTGGAGCTGGTAAGCTCTGGGAGCCGTCGGAGCACTGCGCCACAACGCTAATATTGGCCGACTGGAGCAGGCGGGGTTCCCAAAGAACGCAATTAGGTGCAGAGCGTCCTGCCTCCCTCACATTTGCTGTTCGCACTCACATCCACTAGTGCTCGGAAGCAGGGAGAGGACAGACGAGGCCCACCAGCTGGGGTGGCTCAACTAAAAGGAGTAGCGTTTACCCTCGACCTGAGGCCACGCAAGATAAACCCACGCCCTCCCCACAATGGGGTGACTACGCTAAGTGAAGCCTTCTCTTCCCGTTCCTGCCGTGAGAGATGGAAAGGGCTCAGGAGCGTCTCTCCCTTCCCCCGCTCTGGGACTCTTAAGGTCGGTTCTAGGGATTCCAGCTGCATTCTCTAGTAGGTGATCCGTTTTTTGGAAGCACACGGCTACCACCTAGCGGTTCGGAAGTGCCGCTGTAACCCCAGCCTTGACGCGATTTATGCGAGTAGCCAGGACTCTGGTCAGCGCTTACTCCAGGCCCTCTTTGGTTCACACACCAAGCAGCTTGTTTTCCTGCCCTTAATCATCAACCCTGAACTTTTTCTGTCCTTTTCTGTCCTTCCATTAACCCCAAAGTGTAGATATTGTCATAGGACTGCCTCATTCTGTCTAGAACCTGGATCAGCCAAACTCTGCTTTGGACTGATGCTAAGGCAAACAGGTCAGTGTGCAAGAAACTAGAGAACAGGCTCAAAATGCAAAACTCAGGAATTCAGATTATTTGGTTTAAAGCCTTGTCAGTAGCTGTGGTTGCTATTGCCCGTTCACTGGGGCATACAGTAAAGAGGGTGCTGCTCAGTAGTGTTTGTTATTCCCGAAGTTATAGAAACATAGTAGTATTTATTCCAAGTATCAAACCTCCCTGATAGCTACTTTTCAGTTCCTTTTCAAAGCCAAGGCTAATGAGACAGCATTCAAAACAAACCCTGAGCCATGCAGCAGTGGCACAGACCTTTAATCCCAAAACTCCCAGGAGGAAGAGGCAAGCCAGGACAGCCAAGGTTACACTTTGAGGGGGAGGGGGGCACCATACAACATATAACCTGAAAACCTTTGCAAAATCTTGTGCTTTGAGATAGTTCTTGCATGAGGCTAAATTCATTTTATGTAGATTTTCTGGATTGCTAGAACTAGTCTTGCGAATTTATAACTTCCTAAAATTGGAGACTAATGAATCAACCAATCCTTGGAGTGAAATGACCAACCACGAATAGTAATGAACCAAAATGCCTTTGGCCTTGCTTTACAGATTCTCGAAAGTTGTGCATGCATGCAAACACTCTGGGAGGTGGTGTGGGGGTTTTATCTTCTGGCTAAGCATTCTTTCTTATCTGCATTCTATTACCATTTTTCGTTACTTTTGTAATGGGTATTGTCCTACCTACAATACTTTGATGACTTCATCTCAAGACAGTCCCAGATCCTCAAAATCCAGTCGAGTTCTGAACATAAATTCAAGAACCACAAGTCCTGGTGCTAACGATGTAGCTCAGTTGAGAGACCCACAGCTCAATTCCCAACACCCCTTAAAGTGAGGTAAAAGCATACAGACCTATAAGCCCACCAACTACAGAGATAGAAACTGCAGATCAGCTCAGGCTTACTGCTTGGGCTCTGTCATTGGAAGGAATATTCTACTTCCTTGCCTACAAAATATAGCTGAGTGTACAATGAGATCTGGCACATACTGGACAACCAGGTTAGCTGTCAATAACCCTAATTTCAGCCTTCACATCCCTCAATTAAGTAGACAAGATCATTCCTTACACTTGAAGTATCAAAATGTTGACTTCATACTCATGATTCCTTCTCTACTACTCACACTAAAGTCGGTTCACCACTGTTACCAATATACATATTAAATTTGAGATGTAATGTGCTAACCTGATAACTTACTCCATTGCTGAGATCCTACCTTGTTCTCAGTCCTAGTTGAGACAAGGTACCTTACTTAAAATAGATGACCAGGCAGTGGTGGCCCATGCCTTTAATCCCAGCACCCAGGAGGCAGAGGCAGGTGGATCTCTGATTTGGGGTCCAGCTGATCTACAAGAGCTAGTTCCAGAACAGGTTCCAAAAATAAGAGAAACCTTGTCTTGAAAAGCAAAAAGAACAGGTATGTGGCAGTCGAATAACTTCATGGAATTTCCTGAAACCCATGTAAAAGCAAGTCTTTGCATGAGACACAAACACACACACCCCAAACCCAAGTAATAAACTCACTTTTCCCAGGAAAACTGAGCAATCTGAAGTTTTTTTTTTTTAAAACCAGTATCCTAAAGGGGGGAAAAAATTAAACTGCAGAATGATAGTCTGACTAACTTGGTTAACAGGTAGGCTGGGAGGAAAGGTAGGACACAACCATCCAAAGGAACATTCCCTTGTGTCAGTGTAGGCTTTAGGTGACCAAAAACAGCAGTAAAGAGCAGGCACAGCACCTTGTAAGGAGGCCCTTGTAAGGAACTTTAGCCAACAATCTTTTCAGAGTTTATACTGAGTTTAATTCATTAGGTGACAAACCCACCACCACAAACATCATCTTTAACAATGCTAAATTACAAGATCCCTTCCATTGGAATCCTGTTTGCTACATTTGGACATCATAACAAGATCATTAAAAGCTCTGAAAATGAAGATCAAAAACCAGGCACTCCTGCTAAATTAATGAAATAGGATACTAGGGCTGAAGTAATAATAGTACACATGAGGAACTAGGCTGGATGCAAGTCTGTTAAGGTCTCCAGTATATGGTAGTCCTGCACTTGGCGCTAATACATTTGCACATCTTTGCATACACAATGAAATGTTAAACCCTGCTTATCATATCAACACCCAAGCACTTGTAGAACTGGGAATGTATGTGTTATGTTTAGATATTCTCCAGAAACAGGCAACTTGACTGGAACATCCCTGTAGTCCATAGTCGGGTTCCATATTGTAAAGACAAAGATTAACATCTTCCCTTAAGCACCTAGATCTAGTATTGCTGGTACTTCATATTATGCAGTATTATGCAGATATGTGCATGTAAGCAGGTGAGACAGCCTGTACTCCAATTCAGACTGCTTTACCTGAGGTCTGTAGTTCTTGCAGATTGAGTTTACTGTATACAGAAGTTGCAGATCCATACCCAATAAGGTTGAGACAACCCATCTTTGCCTTTTTATAACATTGTTCATAAACACCCTCTATTTTACTTCCATCTTAATGTAACTAAACCTTATTTACTGAAGTCAGGGAGCCATCTAGCGTGTTTAACTTCTAAGGACCACCAAACTGCTTTCACTCGAGATGGAAATTGTGTTCCACTCAACCAGTCTAATTTCAGACAAAAGCAGTTTCAAATTAAACACCGAAGACCTCTCCCATCCACTAATACTTCAAAAGGCAACCAACTTCTGAAAATATAATCAGCACTAGTTACCTACCATGTTATAAGGCACTACCTGAAACCATTTAGGTGAGCAAGGCCATTAAAATGCACCACCAATATAGGTGTCTGTAATGCAGCAATCAATGGTCACTCTGCACACCATTACAACACCAAACACCACCTACCAGGCTTGATAGGCCTATACCAGTTGAGGCTATAGACAACTCTGTAACAGACCTTTTGACTATCAATAAAAAAGCTGTTAAGAGTTTAATCCTGGTAACGGGTTTGCTTATGATTTACGAGTTTCAGTCTTCTGAAATATGCCTACTTTACAATTTGTATCCATGAAATGGGTGTTCTGTTGATAATTACCATAAAATTTACAAATATTCAGCCAAGTGGCTTTATGAGAAAAAAAATCAAGCACACCTATCTTAGTATGAAAATTCTACTTTAATCTTGTGTACCTACCAAGTAATTTAAAAATGTCATGATTGCATGCCTGCTGTGTACCTGTATGTATAAAATTTCCCCAGTAAGACTGAGGAACAAAGCAGCCCTTGACTAAGTTACAAAATGCTCAAATGACCAGGAAGACAAACAGTACCATACACAACCTTCTGGACAACTTCAATATCTCAATTCCCAACCAGATTCTGATCACTCTAAAGAACCAATTTGCTAAGTTAGAAATAAAATTTTAATATAAAAGGATTCAAGAAAACAAAGAATGGATGCAAGAACACTTAATTGTCCCAAGAAAAATCCCAGAACCACTTGCTCCTCTTGGGGACTATAAAGCTGATAATTATACAATTACAGAGAACCATATAGAAAACACTTAAAAACAAGCGGGAGGTACACTTTGATAGAACTTGAGTTGTCTTGTATGTAAGGACTCTGCCATGCATTGTGACAATGCCATGTTAATACACAACTGCAAACCAGGATGAATGACTCAGTGATTATGTTCATTATGTCATCAGGTTAATGAACAGAACTAGAGGGAAGTTGTTTATATTAGTCCCTAAAAAATCTTTAGTCAAGGCTTATAATAAATCAACTTACAAACTACCTGGTCAGGAATGGAAAGACATTATATTTGAGGGCACTGACATTTAACTTCAGACAATGTATGTTAAATAAGCAAATAGAAACAGTGCTACTTTATTAAAATACTGAGTTTATTTCACATGTATATTTGTCTCCCTACCACTTCCACATCTGACCACCACTATTACTATGTCCTATCATAACATTCCATACATACTTAAAACCAAGTAAAGGGTGGAGCTCCATCCTTGAAAACTAAACAGGCATTTTAGACAACATTCTTGGCAATGGAACCTGGACAACATTTATCAAACACAGTAGGGAAAGTTCTCACTTTGCATTATAAAAAGGACAGCCAGATATATCAACTGTTACAGAAATTAAGTAAGACGGAATATTTCAAACTGTTTAAACCATTTTCTTAAAGAGACTTCCTCCACTGCCAGAGATCTTGAATGGCCTGTAAAGAGGGGGGAAATGGTAGAGATTAACATTGTAAGTCAATACATTTCTTCATCATTTTTTTTACCAAAGGAAGTTAATCATTTCAACTCAGACATATAGCATAAGATTCCTTAATAAATGCCTCACGCATAAAAAGAGCTGGCTATCTGGACACTGTTGCCTCGGATTGTGGCTCAACCACATTGTATTTAGGCTTCAAAATTTGACTAAGAATGTTCAAACATTGTTAAAATAGAAGTATATAAGCCCGTTGACAAACTTGGCATTAACAAAATCCATTTAAGGATATGTGCAAACTTTTCCTGCTTTACAATTCATGCCACTGGGAAGACACATCATTGGTTGTGTTTTCCCTTTACATGGTTCAAGTGAATTCTCCTAAGCTCCATAAAAGCAAAACTTTTCTGACATTTACATAAAGTCTCACATGTAAGGGCATTAAAATGCTTCCCGCCAAAATTAACCCATCTACTACCTGGAGAAGGTACTATCACTTCCCAAGACTTTATGTAAAGCAGCCAAATGGAACAAAGGAAAAAAATAACAGCCTATTTTCTTAGCCAACACACTACACTAAGAGTAAAACTAAGAAACCAAGAGATAATCTAACAACTATTTCAAAGCTGGGAAAAATGTGTACTAAAAAGTTATCTGTTCAGTCTGCCAATTAAATTCTTTCCATGTATTTAAGAACTGTCTGTGGTTAGGAACCTTTTACAAGGAGCCAACTTAGGAGACTAAAAGTAAAAAAAAAAAATCACAACGAAAACTTTTGCCTTGGTTATATATCCACAGAAAATTCAGTTACCTCCTGGTCAGTCATCCGGAAGCAATTCTTCACATAATTAATGAACTTGGCTTCCACTTTGGGAAGAGAGCCACCCTATTGAGGGAAAAAAGATTATTAAGGACATGCATAGGAATTGATACCACTAGAACTTTTCCATTCTAAATAACAAAGACATCTTTTGATGTCCAGAAAGGCATAACAGGCAGCACATTAACCATGACCATCTTTTTTTAACATGCACTGGGATATTTTGCCCCTGAAACTGGAATTAAGAGTTGTGAGCTGCCATGTGGATGCTGGGAATTGAACCCAGATCCTCTGAAAAGAGTAGCCAGTGTTCTTAACCACTGAGCCCTCTCTCCGGCCTATGATCTTTTAATTGCTGCAAGCCCATTCCCCAAGACAGTCAATTTAAAATAAAGACATGCAAATATAGCCATATCATGAAGCATGTTAGTCTTATCAACCTTATTACCCAAAAGTAAATTTAATCCATCCAGGCTGTTTATAAAGAACTTGTGTTTTCCAAGAACCTAGGATAGCATACCATCTAGAAACCAAACTACCCTTTACTAACTACAGCACAAATCTGGCATTTGTTTTCAATTATGAATGTAGGCAATGAACCCCAATAACAGAAATACATAAGGCTTTGTATTCATAATTTTCAAGGTATCTAGTTATTGCCTAAATACCATTAATTTATCAGCTTTAAAATTAACACTACAGATCATTCCTCATTTCGTTTATTAAATGTATCACTTAACCAAAATCTTATTTTTGCACCGTTTTATGCATTTAGCTTCCAAATGCAAAAATCAATTGCCTCCATCACCCAGAATAAGTTCACTATATAGTAATTTTAAAATATTGTCACATAAATCCTTATTTGGTTTATTCAAAAAATTTATTGAACAGCTAAGGATACAAAGGTATTAAAACATGGTAAGAGATGAGGCATATGCACAAGTGTAGAAAGCAGTAAAGTTCTCTGCATCACAAGAGTGAAAGAAAAATGCTTTAGGAAAACAAGAGATTGCTTCCAGCGTGCAAGGGTGAATGGATGGCCAATCAGGAAAGGGGATTGAGATTAAATAGAAGACTTCAGTCTGGATTGTTGATGGTACTCAGTATGGACTATATTTGTTTCTCCTTTTCCTCTTTCCCCATCTTTGGGCTTAATTTACCAGTAGTGCCCAGGAATGTTCAATGCGCCTGCAATTAAACCAAGGAGATAGGACCACATTAAAATGGGGGGGAGGGGCACCATTTTAGCAGTGTATGCAAGGGATAAAAATTAATCAGTTGTGACACCAGGAAAGCTAAATTTTACAGTGCTGGCAATTAAAGTGCTAATTTCCAGTTCACTGGTGGATGCACAAAGGAAGAAAATCTTCTGAAGCCATGTTAGGCCTATAGGGCAGGAAAAACATGGAAAAGGGAGGGCAATTTTCCTTATCATTCCACATTTATTCCCAGTAACTAGTATGTTACAATCATAATTCATCTGTAATTCTAAAAAAAACATTTGAACTGTTTTTCCATTTCCTACACACCCCAGGTCCCTTAAATTTTATTATCAGCCAAATGGCACAAGATAAATTTTACTTTTAAGCCCAGATATAAGCCTATTTAGCTGTCAAATTCTACATCACGGACATAAGTTTGATAGAAGGCAGAGAAATTATTCAAATTGCTGTGAAGTGCTTAAAGGTGATCCTGATTTTTTAGTTATCTCACAATTATTTAGCTTTACTTTTTCCAAGATGTTTACTGAAAATCCAATCGCCCTCTGCTAGCTCTACAGCATAAGCCCAGAAAAGGCAATGCTCTCACTCATTTTTCCATCAGTGTGCATCCTTGTCCTTTTATTACAGTAAACTGTTTTTATGCACAAAACTTTACGCCATTCACCATATAGTGGAAAAGACCAATACATTCAAGGTAATTTTTACTTACTTTTTCTATACTTGCTTGCATTTTTGCCTTAATGTCTTCTACAGAACTAGGTCCTTTTGGTGTTTTAGGGGTTTTTTCCTGTTTTTTGAAGGACTCTTGACCCTGGAAAGTTTTAAAGGTAAGATTTAAAAATTGTACTAATTACTATGACTTTTCAATTATTCTAATAAACTTACACATAACTTCATGTAATTTTATTTCTTTCTAGCCATGCTATTTCACACCTTTAATCTCATTCTTTAAAAGGTTGAGGGATTAATTAAGAAACCCAGTCTGGGATAGATAGAGCTGGCTCTCAGAAAACCAAAATGTCACTATTTCATAACATTTATATGCATTGTTTTGCTTACATGAGGATATTGGATACCCTTGAATTAAAGTTAGATAGCTATAAATTGCCATGTGGGTACTGAGAATTGAACCCTGGTCCTCTAGACCAGTGCTTAACCAGAGCCATCTCCAGCCCGCAAACCTGCTATAATTTAAACAGCCCTGCCTGTCCCTCCTTAGTGCCAGATAAAAAAAATTAAAGGAGCATGCCACCACCACCTGGCTTTGGGGGTGGGGGCTGACAAGCACATCAACTCCTGTGTAATTCACAATTCTACAGGAATGCAATGGGCATATGAATGAATTATTACGAAGAAAAGGGAGGCTTGAGAGACGGTATGAGCACTGGCTGCTCTTTCAGGTCCTGAGAGTTCAATTCCCAGCAACCACATAGCACCTCACATCATTCCTAATAATACTTGGTTCCTTTTTCTGGCATGCATAAATAGAAATAAGGGCTGGAGAGGTGGCTCAGAGGTTAAGAGCACTGCCTGCTCTTCCATAGGTCCTGAGTTCAATTCCCAGCAACCACATGGTGGCTCACAACCATCTTTAATGGGGTCTGGTGCCCTCTTCTGGCCTGCAGGCATACAGACAGAATATTGTATACATAATAAATTTAAAAAATAAAAATAAAAGGAAGCATAGCAGGGCAGTGGTGGCACGTGCCTTTAATCCCTGCACTTGGGAGGTAGAGGTAAGTAGACCTCTGAGTTCAAGGCCAGCCTCTTCTACAAAAGAGCTATTTCCCAGACAGCCTTTAAAAGCTACAGAGAAACCAGTTTCAAAAAAAAAGGAAACAAATTAACTCAAAGCTCAGAATTCAGAAGAAAAAAGAACTATTGATGCTTGGAGCTCATCCCAGATTCAAGTATTTTAATAAACTCTGCACTACAAAGCATTATGTCATCAGGATTAACTTCCTTAAACACTTACCAAATGTTATGCAAAATAGATTCTTATACAGAATTTACTACTTTCTGTAACTAACTAGATCAGTGCTGTCTTGTCCATTTTGTTACTTGGGTACTTACCTTTGATCTTGGTGTTGATGGTTTTAAGTCTTTTCCATTTTGGTTTGATTTTTGTGCATTTTTGGCTGGGGTTTCTCGGACAGACTGCAATTAAAGAACGACCTTAATTATCACTATGCTAGTGTTAAGCCATTTAATAAACTGCACAGGAAAAATAAAATTAAGAAATTTTGAAAGAATTCAAAGAAATTCCTTTGAAAAGTTTGTAGTCTTAGTTTAAGCAATTTTTAATATGAAATCAACTAAGCTCTTTTCCCTCCCCGTGAGCACTAAGAAATCTCTTACTATTTTTGACAATCTTGGTATGTATATACTTACTTTCTTCACTGGAACTTTTTCTTCAGCTTCCTCATCATCAAAATCATCGTCGTCATCACTAAAAGTGAAAAACATAAATTTGTCAGTTTGACAAAAGCCACCTTCAGACACTGTAGCACATTTCCAATAGACAAGCCACACATCAGTATTTAAAAGAATTAACCATGTATTTAGGTTGCACTAGTGACACACACACCTCTGATGTCAAGTTCAAGAGATAGAGAAAGGCAGATATCTGTATCAGAGTTTAAGTCAGCCTAGTTCACAAAGTTGATTCCCATAATGGCTATGGCTAAAGAAACCCTCTCTGGAGAAACCAAATATTTAGGACTAACAAAGCAATGCTACTTAGCCCCTTAAAAAGCAAAATCAGGATGTCTGGACTACTCTTCCAGAGGACCCGGGTCCAACTCCCAGCACCTACATAGCAGCTCATAAGTCTTATAATTCCAATTTCAGGGATCTGACACTTTTACAATTACATATAAATGAAACACCGAAGCACATGAAATACAAATTACTAAAAGAAAAAAGGCAAAAAAGCCAACTAATCAAACAATACATTATTTCTCACAATACTGTTACTACAGATTATAAAAAGTAGTTTGGTTTTGCTGTTAGTAGTAAAGAGCTTTCCTCAATCAGTAGTTAATACTGCTAAAAATGAGAGCTCTCCCTATAACATACAAATTTGTAGTTATTTATCCTAATTCAGATATTCAAATCTAAGGTAGAAAAATTATCTGCACAAAGAAAACCTCAAGTCTCACACTTGGTCTCGATAAGGAAATAAGCTACAAAACTTGGAAGTAGATTTTATAAGTTTAAGTTTCTTAAATAAGGCTAGGCCTTTTAAAAATTAACTTACTTTAAAGCACCCCTATAAGGGTAAAGATGCTTTTCAACTGTACAAGTATTAAAAATGATCATTAACATGCTGAACCTTTATTTATTCTTCAAGAGGTAATTTAGTTAAGAACTCCCAAGTGCCGCAGTGACCTATGTCCACAGCAACAGCATTCCCCAGGCCATAAAGAGTACAATCATTTGTCATCAGGATTCTGTTATGTAAAATACTTTGAAAAAGCCAATGTCTAAAACCCACTTGCGGGTAACTACAGCTTAAGGAATACTGGATAAATCAGGCTGTGGTGGTACACAATTATAATCCCAGTACCTGGCAAGCAAAGGCAGGAAGAGACCTGAGTTCATTCATGTCCAAGCCAATCTATTGAATTAGCCTCAGGATAGCCAGTGCTGTATACCACACTAAAACCCTGTCTTTGTGGCAGGAAAAATAAGCATACAGTAAAAAATTTATTGTCTTAATGCTTCTCATTCAGTTTTTTACACTTCATTCCAATGTGTGTGCAGTGTTTGGCAAGGCTTATTTATTGGCTCTTCCCATTAGAATTAAGATGCCAGATTGCAATTAACAGAATAATCCACCTCCAATTACTTCCATGTTATTCAAAATCTCAAAAGGAGCTGCTTCTCACTTTCACAATCTAGCTCTAATATTATGATCCACAAAGCACTTGCTTTAGGAGGAAAAGTATAAAATGTTCTTTAGTTACAGCATGTTTTTTTATAAGTGAGTGAATCACATTACTTGCTAAGTAAGTACTCTTTAATAAGTACAGTTTAATTATCCCGATCTGTGTTTAATCCAGAAGTTATAACTGTGGTCACAGTTAAATTGAAAAAGCAAGAACTTTATGCAGTAATTCTTTTTAGTTGTGGAGAATATTGTTAGCATTTATACCATGATCTCAAAGCCACATGTAAATTCCATACTTTTTGTGAAATTCAATAAAACTGCCCAGCACTAGGGAGGCAGAAGTGAGTGGATCTGTGAGTTCATGGCCAGCCTGGTCTACAAGTTCCAGGATAGGCTCCCAAGCTACAGAGAAACCCTGTCTTGAAAAACCAAAACAGAACCCTATGTGGAGCTGTTTTCTCTATTTAGAAAGATGCCAATTTCTATAACCTGAGTTATTTCAGCTCCTTAACTATATAATCTCATACACAGTATTTAGGTATTGTCATCATGCATTATCTAAAAATGATTCATTACTAGGATTTCACTATTAAAGTCATCCCTAGGCAGTATTGTCCCATGGGACCAGATACATATCATGCCTTAGGAACTTATGTTTACTTTCTACCTTAATCCTCATATGTAATATGCTTTCAATATACATGACCAATCCCAAGATATTCAAGATCAATTGTCATGTCAAGATTTCATCTGTTTTCTAATATAACCTGATCATAAAGAACACAGAATCTTATTTAGCCATCTTCAAGAAACAAACCATTCATTACAAATGGTAATCCTTTACAGGTTATTTAAGTCACTGAATCACAGGGTCCACTGACAAAATTTTCCTATACATCCTTCATGGTGTATGTAATATGTAAAGTTTCTAAAATCATACTACTTATACTTACTCTTCATCATCCTCATCATCCTCATCATCTTCATCATCATCCTCATCAAGTTTTACTTTTTTCTTAAAGAAAAATAAATATTCATGAGCAAAGCCATTCCTTGGTGAAAGTCAGAAAACTTGTTTAGTTAAAAAAAAAAAAGTCTTTACCTGTGGAACCTTGTTGCCACCTCCCGGAGCAGATCGCTTTCCAGACATACTCAACAGCTTTACATCCTCCTCCTCTTCATCTTCTGACTCTGCATCTTCCTCTACAGCTAAAAATTAGATATACTTTTGAGAACTTATGAGTGGAGAACGCATGGTATTTTTTAAATAAAATTCCAGTAAAGAAACCTTAAAATAGAAATGCTCACTGTCTAAATACATATTAGCAGGTTCCCATTTCAGTATAAGACAATTAGAACTATAGCCTGCTTTACTAAGTCTGAACTGGAGATCTGGGGAGATAGCATGAGAGCCCCAGGACCCATGTGAAGAATACTCTTAAAGGCAAATGATCTTGTTTAACCTGGACATGTATTCCATGGTCAAATGAGTGCTTTTAAAAATGCCAGTTCTAATCAGAAACCTAGATATACCACAGATTAAAAAAAAAAAAATCAAACATACCTACTAGATGCTGTCCACTAATGTGCACTGGCCCAGAACCACACTTCAATCTTAAGACCACAGGAGGTGTTATTTCAAATCCCCCAAGAGAAACCTAAAAATGAGCAATTTTCAATCATTAAACATTGTCAATAATGTTTTACACCAAGTATCCTCAGCAGTTATACAATCAATAAGTAAACCTATTTAGAAGCAGTAGAAATAATCTGTCACAGAAAATGTAGTTTTTCGTTGAATTATCTTTTGTGTATCCTAAATTAGTCTTAGAGACTAACATGAAATTCAATGTTTAGAAATATACTTACTGTTGGCTGTACAGACATTTTCAAAGTTGCCAGTGTTACTTTAATTGGACTGCCTTCATAGTTCATTGCTTCTGCCTCTACGATGTGTAATTCGTCTTTTGCCCCAGCACCTAAACTAACCTGTGAACAAAAAGATACTTCAAGCCGCAATTTAATATAAGCACCCCTTAAAATTTCTGTCCTCACTACTGATGAAAACCTAAGCATCTCATATTTAATAGACATTAACACTATGTTTCTAATACCAATCAGCAGTAGTAAAGCTGGCAAATAGTTCACATTCCTGCATAGCCTTACTAGGCAATTTTAACAGTAACTGTGAGTACAAAAAAATTTTAATCGGGCAAAGATGTTGAGTGCACTATTTGAGGTACAGAAAACACTATATTATATAGTGATTCTTTTTTTCCAGCAATAAGGAAGCACAATGTCCTGACAAATCACATCAGTAAGAACCAAGTGGCTGAATTTTTGTAATAGGTAGTTTCAAAGTTTAAGTACCGTTCTTAGTGATAACTGGTGCTCGTTCTCATCATTATCCACCTTAAAGTGATAATCTTTGTCGGCTTTTAGTTCACAGCCTGTAAAGAAAAAAAAACGAACTGATCAAGGGATGAACATCACATTCTAAAACCACCAACTCATGTAGTTTTTAACTAAAGTTCTCTGGATTCCACTCTATATACAAATGTTTTATTTTCTCATAGTATCAATGAGGCACTATTGCCATTTTCACAGAAGATTCAATGACCTAAATAAAACTGGACCTTTACATACATAGTAGCTGAAGCTAAACTCAGAATTTCCTATTTTGAAACCCAATTCACCTATGTTCTGAAAGAAATTACAAATCAAGAGTGGCTACACATCACCAGTAGGGACAAATTTTGTGTCTCTATCCAGAACGAATAGGTATAAAACCCTTCGTGTACACTTCAAGTGGGGGGACTTCCAATTTCTCTAAACATCAGTTCCTGCCTGTTTACTGCTGTTAACAGACCTCAGCACAGCTAATAAACTAAAAACTTGAGTCACTGAAAACCAAACTAAAATATCCTTTGTATACACTAAGTATGTGGTAGCAGGGTTTAGGTGCGATCCTAAATAAACCCTCGTGGCACTTCTCTCCCCCGCCCCATCACCAGATCTAGAAAAGATAGTGGTCCTCTTACATATCAGCCCGGTCAGTCATCTGCAGCGTGCTGACTCCACCTACCGCAGAGGCAGGAAAGGGTCTCTAAAATCACTACCATGCCCGTGGGTGCTAAAAGACCTGAACAAAGACCTTCAAATACTCTCACGCCACCAGCCACTTAAGCATTTCCCGCCCAGCACTCTCGACTAAGCTACAAGACCCAAGGGCTCAGGGTTGACCAGACACCATCAAGAGAGCCCGGATGTAGAGCCCACACCCCCTCCCTACCCCCAACCACGTGGCAACCACGTGTTCTCAGGGGTTGCGGCCCCCTCTGCCGGAGGGCGCCTGCTCGGCCGCATCCTTCTTACTGGCCGAACCCCTCGGATGCTCCCCGATGTGGGAGCCGTGGCCCGTAGAATTCACAGCGGACTGCCCGCCCGTGTGCCGTCTCAACACGGCGACGCAGGCCTCACTCTGGAAGCACCATCCTCCCGGGCCACCCGCCCGGGCCCATCACTTAAAAAAAAAAAACGGACACCTGGCGCCAAATACTTCGCGCTAGAGGTGAAAGTGTCGCCGCAGGCCCTGCTCACGCCTCAATTAAGTCCGCCTTCTAGGCCGACCGAGCTCTCAACGCCCGAGGCTCGAGGCCGGGCCTCTCCCGCCCCAGGTTTCGGTCGCTCCCAGCCATAGGGCCTCGGCTTTCCCCGCCCGCCTGCGGCCTGAGGCCCCGGCCGTCCCTCCTAGCCCTGCGGCCTCCACCCACGCCGCGTTCACCTCACGCCAGGCCTAGGCGGGCCTGCCGCCGCCCCCCACCACCAGCCACCAGGCCCTGCTCGGGCCCTTCCCGCCAGGCAGTTACCGAAAAGGTAGTTCTGAGGCCTTAGAGGGCTCATGTCCATGTCCATGGAGTCTTCCATGAGGTGAAGGCGCGTTCTTCGGTGGCAGAGAAGTCGGACGGAGGGTTCTGCCTGCTGCTCCTCAGAACAGGCACGCAGGACGGAATCACGCCAGGGAAAGGACGCGGGCTCGCTGCACGCATATATGGCCGCAGGAGATCTCGCGAGATCCGCTCTAGTCCCGCCTCCGCGAGCGTGTTCCCGACCCCCCCCACACACACGCACTTCCCGCACCGTCGCGCTCTTGCGCAAGCGCTCTCCTACCCCGTGCCTTTCTACCGCGCCCCCCACCTCTCCAGGTGCTTGGCGGGCTCACACTGCGCACGCGCGTCTTCTCCTCGCCCGTTCCTCCCCCCCCGCCCCCCACCGCGGTCGCCCGAGCGCAGGCGTGCTTTCCCTTTGTAGCGGGCTCATGGCGTCCAGCTCTTCCACGTCTTCTTGGCTTCGGCACGCGTGCCCTGTGCGGAGAGCCTACGCAGCCCACCCTAAAAGATGGCGACTGCGGGCAGGGAGGCAGCGAGCGACTCCCTTCCCTGTTCTCTGCCCTCCGCTTCCCCGTTGACCTGCAACAGGCAGAATCTAACGATATGATTTGCTCGAAGGCTTGGTCTCAGTTCATCCTTTTCCCGTAGAGCTTCGGGAGCCGAAAGCAGAGTGGACGGGTCGTTAAGGAGAATGATTCTCTACCGGTCACTTAGTCGGCCATGCTTTCTATACCTCTTATTGAGACATCTCCAAAGTCATTTAGGAACCAAAGGGAGCCCAAGTCAGTCACCTTCAAAGAGCATCTTTCTTAATTTTTTGTTTTGTTTTTGTTTTTTTCGAGACAGGGTTTCTCTGTGGCTTTGGAGCCTGTCCTGGAACTAGCTCTTGTAAACCAGGCTGGTCTCTAACTCACAGAGATCCGCCTGCCTCTGCCTCCCAAGTGCTGGGATTAAAGGCATGCGCCACCACCGCCGGGCTAGAGCATCTTTCTTAAAGTATAGGAGTGTGCAGAACTGAGACCACGCATCTCATCTTCATCATTCAAGAAATACAGGAGCCTTAATGCGAGGCTCTGGCTGGGAATTAGTGTTTAAAACTGCACCCTGACAAACATCTCTCAGTCTTGGGTGCTATTTGAGAGCATCCTTAATCTTTTTTATCTCAACGTAGCTAGCAAATGTTAGGATTATTGGGAGGAACGCAAGTGGTGATACCTCTGCTCCCAGATTCTCTTTACTCCAGAGACGGTCCAGTTGGGAAGACCAGCTATATATTATACGCATGAGCCAATTATTAACCAAACCCTAAATCTGAAAGAAAAAAAAAACCAGCATCAATATGTGAATGGGGTCCATTTCACTACAACTACAGGAGAAAATCTTGAAACTTGGGAGAATTGTCTGTAAACAACCTGAGAGAGACTGGGGAAAAGAGAAAAGCACGTGTGAACAGAATTTTGCCATTCACAATGAGAACACTTTCAGTCCAGGTGCAGGAGGATGCTATTAGAGCAGTGCGGGGTCAAAGTTAACTACTTCATTGCTTCCTAAATTCTGGATCTTTTTTAAATTCTGGGTTTTAGTGGCAGTTGTGGCCCACGCCTTTAATCTCAGCACTCCAGAGGCAGAAGCAGGCAAGCGGATTTCAGCATTCCAGGACAGCCTGGTCTGCAGTAGCAAGTTCCAGGACAGCCAAAGAAACTCTGTCTCAAAAAAAACCAAAAATAAATAAATAAAAGAAATGCAGCTCATGCAGAGACTAAACTATCACTAATGTAAATCAACACACTTGTAACATTTCAGGTATCTTGTCTAAATATAAACACATGGAATTGGGGGACTAGAAGTTTCGCAGACTCCCTCTTAGGCAAACAGACAGGGAGAGGGGCCAAGGCAAGATAACATGTCCAGCTTCTTAGCTTTACAGAAAGGCTTGTAAGCTTTTTGTCTCCCTCCAGAGCAGGCATTCTGCTGACAGACAGGTTCAACAAGCTCAAGGCTGGCCAATCAACTGTCCTAACTTTCTTCAAACTGACCAACCCTAAACTAGGGGAGGAAAACTTGAGACTTCTAACCTAGCCCTGGAGAAGAGGCTGGCTTTTCCAGCTCCACACAGGTCTCTGTGAGTCTCTGCCTGTGTAGGCTTCCAACCCCCATACACACCTTCCCGCTGCAGATCCTGCCCTCAGAGTTCTCTGCTGCTACATCACGCACTTCAGATTCTTCCTGCCTTTAATTCTTTCTCTGGCAGAGAAAACAAACCTAATCAAGACCCCCTACACTGTATCAGAATCAAGGATTGATTGTGCTTTTTAAGTAGTTTTTTTTTAATATGTTTTTAAGCCAGCCTTAAAATGGTGTTGCAAACCTTTAATCCAAGCACTTGGGAGGTAGAAGTAGGTGGATCTCTGAGTCCGGGCCAGCCTGGTCTAAAATCAAATTCCCGGACAGCCAGGGCTACACAGAGAAACACTGCTTCAAAAAATAAACAAAACCTGTGTTTTTTTTAAGATAACCATTTCTGAATGTTTACTGTCTTTTTCATTGCAATTATATAGACCTATTCAAACTGAAAAAAAAAACTACCTCTGTCATTCCATTTCCATTCCCTAGGGTTAATAATAAATATATGAAAATGCTCAGTATCATTAGCCATTAAAGAAATACAAATCAAGCTGGGCCCTGGTGGTGCACACCTTTAATCCCAGCCTCGGGAGGCAGAGGCAGGCGGATCTCTGTGAGTTCGAGGCCAGCCTGGTCTACAAGAGCTAGTTCCAGGACAGGAACCAAAAAAGCTACGAAGAAACCCTGTTTCGAAAATAAAAGAAAATGCTCAATATCATTAGCCATTAAAGAAATACAAATCTTAATCACAGTGATAGTCTCTTAACCCCAGTTAGACTATCTATTACTTAAAAAAAAAATTTGGTGTATGTGAGCAAAATGAACATATACATGTTTTCTGTGGGAATGTGAGTTAGTAGAGCCACTAAGGAAACCTGAAGGTTCCTCAACACTAAATTTACAGTGATTTAGTTGCACCACTTTGGGGTATACGTTTGAAGGAACCAAAATCAGCATACAGAAGAGATCCCTGTGTGCCCATTGTTCTGGGAGAAGCTTCACCCCAGTCTCTGGCAACCATACACCTAAGAAGTCTGGAATGATCTACTGGAAGCTGCACCTCAACCCCCCTCCCCCATCTCTTTCTCCCCAAACCCTGACTCATCTCAGAAAGCCAGAGTGTGGAGTTTATGAGAAGAGGGACTGGACAGTGGTGAAGCACACACCTCAGTTCCTCCCACAGAGGTGCTCAAGACCACTCCCACAGGGTGTTTAAACTGCCCCCCCCCCCGAAAATAGACACGTGGATTTTAGGTTTCTCTTCCCCATCTCCTCTCTGGAGGGCGGGAAAATCATCTGGGAACGTTTTACCCCTCAAACCAGGTCTTTTTCTAATTCAGTTTCATTTGGTCTGATTTGGGTCGCTGCGTTGTAGAGAGGCTTTTCACCTGTGTTTATTGTATTGTTATTCCCACTAGCTAAGACAACGAAATTAGATGAATAAATACAGAGAATGTGATGTATGTATATATACACCATTGAGTATTATGCAACCACAAAGATCTGCCTGCCTCTGCCTCCTAGGTTAAAGGTGGAATTAAAGACCATTGCCTGGCTCATGGGTATAGTTGGGTTTTTTTTTATTTATATATTATGTATAGAGTATTCTTCCTGCATGTAGACCTGCAGATCAGTAGAGGGCAACAGATCTCATTACAGATGGTTGTGAGCCACCATGTGGTTGCTGGGAATTGAACTCAGGGCCTCTGGAAGAGCAGCCAGTGCTCCTAACCTCAGAGCTATCTGGTCTACTGAGGCATGAGCAAGCAGCCTCCCTTCTGTGGTCCGGACCGTGAGCCTCTCCTTCCACAAGTCTTTCCTATCATGATCCAAATAACTATGACCATCTGAAAGTCCATCCTTCAGATCCGGATCAAGTTTTCCAGCTGCCACCACACAGAACAGAGATGAGCCACCTCTGCCAGGCCTTGTCCCAGGAGCAAACTCACAGGCGAAACACCTGATTGCTATTTTGAGCTATGAATCTTAGAGCGGCTACTTAGCAATAGATGACTGTTCCTTCCGTCTACCATCCCGAGGCACCATGCCAAGAGACACGCTTTCATGACAGGACTCTGAGCACTAAGGCGGATGCTCATTCTGCCTAGGAAAAGTCATGACTGGAGGCGCAGCTCTGCAGCGACTCAGGGCAGTCACTAACTGACCAATGGGCAGGGACCTGGAAAGCACGTGACTAGAAAGTTTGAGCCAAACCCCTCTGAAAAGATGCAGACTATGAAAGGTCCTTGCATGGTGTGACTGCTTACCAGAGCTGCACCGGCAGAGAAGAACCATAATCATCATGTGGGTTGGATGACCTGCTCTGACATCTTCAGTCAGCCTTGTTCCCCAGTGGTTTCCACCCTTGCCTTCAAAAGTCTTGGGGAACCAGGCGGTGGTGGCACACATCTTTAATCCTAGCACTTGGGAGGAAGAGGCAAAAGGATCTCTGTGAGTCCGAGGCCAGCCTGGTTTACAGAGTGAGCTCCAGGACAGTCAGGGCTGTTACCCAGAGAAACCATGTCTCACAAAAGAAAAAAAAAAAGTAAGAAAGAAAGAAAAACAACAACAACAACAACAAAAAAAAAACTCTTAGGGAAAAAAATGGAAGATTTGCAGAAGTTTAGCAATATGGACTCGAATAGGCCATCGTAAAGATCAATCACAGGCCTCCATGCAGCCCACTCCTCAGGGGATCAAACAGCCCAAAGGCAATTGTTTCCAGCAAGACACTTCTGTTTCAGAAGGGACTGTGTCCTGTCCTGGTTGTAGTCACACTTTGTGGCTAGAGTCGCCTTACTTACTTACCAGATTGCTGCCAAAACTCTTCCTCTGTGGATTTCACCATCAGCTCTGACTTTACGGCAGATGGTTTCATGCCCAGAGAATTCACCAGCGGAAGCATCTGCCCTCACCAGTGGTGGAGCACATCTTTAATCCCAGCACTTGGGAGACAGAAGCAGGTGGATCTCTTGCATTCGAGGCCAGCCTGGTCTACAAAGCAAGTTCCATGACAGCCAGGGCTACACAGAGAA